CAAATTCTTGTGGTATGCACATTCCATTACGGCAACGAAACTCATTCTGGTCACATTGATTAAATTCTAGTAATTGGCAGTTCTGCTCGTCTTCTCCTCCTTCACATTGTATTGTGCCATCGCAGATATTACGCCAGTCGAGACAGAGTAGGCTACTATCACATTGAATACCGGTGAAACATAATGATGTTGCATGTAATTTCGCTAAAGGATTTTGCATTTGACTTTTTAATAATTGACTAAGTGTTGATTCTATTGGTCGTTCATATTCACACACCACGCCAAAATATCTCGATGAACAATTACAAATGAAACCATTTGGAGTATCCGGTATCAATAAATATCGAGCATAACGATCAATAATTTTTAACGGTATTAACCAGTCGAATAGCATGTCGGTTTTCACTTCCTTCTGTTTCAAATCGGAAAATGACCACCAAGTAGTAGAATCGCTACCCGAACAATTTTTCGTCTCATTTCGTTCAATAGTATCGTGCGGTCGACGACAGTATAAAACTTGGTCTTGATCGAAACAGTCGTAATAGCTTATCGTGTCCGAAGTAGAATGAAAATACCATTCAATAGAATACACTGCATGAATAAGTAGTAAATAATTTGCCAATTTCATTTCTTACAACAGAACTAAAATACAAAACTAAAGTCTAAATTTTATTTTATTTTAACTCTAACAGTCTTTGTATAAGAAGCCATGGCATCAGACAACCAGCTTTTTCTTCCTAGACAAAACGAGTGAGGTTTAAGCTCCAGAACTAATGCGTACTAAGAGCTTTATTGTGATCAGGAAGGAGAAATATCGTACCGGAAACGTCTGAACAAGTGGACGCTTTTTCAGGATATTTCTCGCGAATACCTCGTTGTATGTGTGGGACGCAAAATTAAACTTTTCATTCTTCGTGGGAGAAATTTAAATAACAACATTGTTAAAATTAGAGCATATACAGTAACTCAGATTGCCAAAGGGTAATTAAGGGATTTCAAAGTGCTAAAAGCGTTTTGAAACATAGCAATGGCGACTAGTAGTAGTAGTTTATTGCTATATTCCTGCACCTTTAATATACAATACATTATTTTCATATCTCTACTGAACGAACCTCGTCCCTGGTAGTGAGAAAAAAACCATATAGAAAATAAAAGAATTTTTTGACACAAAATTTAATAGTGTTTGCAATATCACACAAAAGACACACATTTACTGGAAGCCCAAGACATAGTCAAATAACGACAGACGATCTTTAGTTAAAATACTCACAATATTTTTACGCGGACGACCTTTTCCAAAAATCTGTCGTTTTTCCTTAAGAAGAGACGGATTGGTACAATATTCATGTAGATACAACATAGACATTTTATGTTGACAATAGTCAGAGATGACAGAGGGATTTGTTTTAAACATAGTAGAAATAAGATTGTTCCAATGCTCAATTGCAAGACTATCAATCGATTTGTATCCCTAACAGTTCTCGATTTCAATGTTACGGGCATCGTACCATTGATGTATAATTCGAGAAATCTGTCTATTCATTGCTTCAAGTTGTGTTTGTTTACTTTTCGGTAAAATCGGATAAATATTTAAAATCGATTGATAGTGAGGTCGAATATAGGCATTAAAAAGCCTGTATCTTACCTCCTCGCTTAGCATGCGAGAAGAAGAAACACACTTGAAGAGTGCTAAGTTTTTGCGAATTTTGGATGTTATAAAATCTATATGTACTGAAAAAGAAAGTTTAGCATCTAAGAACATACCTAGATTTTTAAACTTGGAAGCATGTGCTATTTGATGACCCTCACATACTATTGGACCAATATTTTGTGGAGCTACCTGGCGATGAAAAAGTGTCGAAAAAGTTTTAACAAAGTTTATTGGTTGTTTCCAGGTAGCGGAATATGTAAGAGCATCTTAGCGGAACGATTTAAGAGCATCTTCTATTTGTTTCCTGAGCATAGGTATCAAGGTGCTTGGTGAACAGAAGAGTGAAGGACACACCAAAATAGAAAGGTCATCCGCAAAAAGATGCTTCCAATGAAGGGCTGAAACTGCGTTTAAAATATCGTAATGGTAGACAATAAAAAGAACTGGTCCAACACAACTACCTTGCGGAACTCCCTTGAACAAAAAGAACAGAACTGATTTCACACCTTTGATCTCAATATAAGCAGCTCAATTCTTTAGATAAGAACGTAACCAAGCCAATAGGTGCAAAGGACAGCCCAGCCTACGAAGTTTAAGCCATAAACCTTTGTACCATAGTTGATTAAACGCCGCTTTAAAATCGACAAATAATGCTGCTGCAGCGGTATTTTGATTTAAACTTTGACCGATCTGATCAATAATTGATACGATTTGCACTGCCATATTATGACCCTGTCTAAAACCAGTCTGTTCATCGGGAAGTATACCGGCATCTTGAACCCATATACGAAAATGAACAAGAAAACATTTTTCATACAATTTAGAAAAACATGGTAGTAAAGATATAGGGCGTGTATCTTCGACACTAACAGTACTGCATTTAGTTTTTGGCAGTAAAATCATTTTAGCGATTTGCCAGTGTGAAGGAGTACCCACAGTAGGGACAAACCCATTAAAACAAGTAAAAATTATTGGGAGATGACAAGGTGGCAATAGTTTTAATATACGATTTGATACGCCATCCAATCCGGATGAGTTTTTGTTCTTTAAGAATGAGATCGCATTTTTTTATGTGCTTATATGAAATAAAAAGCGATTGTAAAGAAGAATTTTTAATTTCATCGCTAATTTCTGCATCCACTTTGCCTGCTTCCATTTCAATAGAAGAGAAAGTACTTAAATATTCAGAAAACTGTTCATTATAAAACTGCTTTGCTATTTTACACATTTTACTAGGAGAAGAAATCACATGGTTATTAGAAGAGAAACTAAGAATCGGTGGGGCACGCTCCCCAAAATGACATTTTATTTTTTTCCAAAACGAGGATATGTCGTATTGGTTTAGTGTCTTACAATAATTTTTCCACGATTGTGTCTTATAGACAAAAATCTCTCTCCGTATTGTTTTTGTATATGTGTGTAGTGCGTTCACAAAATAAGGGTGCCGAGTTTTACGAACTAGTACAAGTAATACTTTTATAAAATTTTAATTTTAAAAGCTGTTGAAAGACCTCAATGGATGTTCAGGAACCAAAATTAAAGAATGCCAAAAACTTTTTTGTCGGGAATACATGAAAGACTGATACACAGCGGTTCAAAACGGGCAAAAAAAGGGTTTACTCTCTCATGCAGAAAGCGTTTCTCAAAGGCAGTCAGCCCTGATAGCCACAAATGATGGTTCATCGCCGTATACATTACGCACTTGAACGCACAGGTGATCACGGAGCTAGAGCTAAAGAGTTTCGCCTAGACTTTTTCACTTAAACGTTGCATGGAGAATTCGAGCTTGCCACAAGCTCGAATTTTGCTAGTCTTTCTACAATAACAAGAAAAACGAGAGCTGCTTCCTTTGCTATAAGCTTTATTCTGTCAGAATACAGGAAAAATATTCCATTATAGTATTCTAAACTAAAACCATCGAAAAACACAAAATCAAATCCTTTTTATTGCGCATTCCTAAGGAAGGGAGCATTTTCCTACTAGGCGAAAGAGGTTGTACTTCGAATGAGCGGAGCTTTGGCAACGCGAGGATGTCGGAAGTGTCCTGAATGTTCCTTTTCAAAAAACGCTCTCTAGCTGTCTATCCGTCTTGAATGTTTTTCGTTCACTCATGCTCATGTGTCCTGTCCTCTCTATCGGTTTCGGATGCAGAGATATTTGAACTTTATTGCCACCGATGCTCATTGTTATCACAGGATATCCACAGATCCCACAAGTATTTTGTTCTTTTTTATGATATCTTGTTCTTGAGTAAAATAAAATCTTATCTAATGTTCACACTTCCCTTTTAGACTTTAGGCTATTTTTAAAGCTTTCATAACTCGCTAACTATACATTATTTTCGAAAAGAAAATGCTATTTTATTCAGAAGTCTTTCCTCTTTCGTATTACGGCATCGAAAAAAATCGAAATAATTTTCCAATCTAAAGAAATCAGGTCGTGCCTTACGTGCCATGGCCACTAAGGAAGATTAAAATTATAATTTTCTGTAGAACGATTTCAAATGTTCCAGGGTTTTTCTTCCTACATGTACATCAGAAAGGTTTTACAAGTACACTTCGCTAAATAGCTGGCTGAGTCCCTCTTCTTCTGTAACATAAAACTGTTTGAATATTTTGTTTTTTACAAGTAAGAGATCGACTGATTTTCCAGGTAAATTCGTGATCATTACATGTGCTATTCTCTGATTTACTTACTCCTTCGGAATTTGCCTTCTGCAAAACTGAAGGCAATAGAAGACAGACTACTTTTATTTCTGATCATAATAAATCCAGAAAAGATTATGTTGAAGGAGAGAAAAGAAATTATTATAAAAGAATAACAGAGAAAGTGGTGCGTGATTCTGAAGCAATGTTAATCAATTCTATTGACACTAACGGTTATTTTATTGCAAAAAGAGAGAATCGCATAGATTTTACTTCAAAAATCACGCACCACGTCGTATTTTTAGCATTTGCAAAATCTTTTCTGACTACATGTGGGAAGAAAAATCAAAACTCAGGAACATTGGAAATCGTTCTAGAGAAAATTATGATTTTAATCTTTCGTAGCAGCCATTGCACGTAAGCCACGACCTGATTTCTTTAGATTGGAAAATTATTTCAATTTTTTTCGATGTCGTATGAAAGTGGAAAGATTTCTGAGCAGATCCCAGAAATCCCAACCATTACATATGTTTGGTATTAACCATACCACATTTTAAGGAAAAGAAAGCCGCTGAAATAAATAGTTGCTCTTGGTGAAGACGGTAGTTACATCGAATTGACACAAAAGCCTAATGACAACAACTGTTATCTAGGGAAATATTCTGTTTGTCAAAATTCTCCGGTTATCCATGCTCGTATTCAAAATGAATGTTTAGAACGGATAGTTGCCGGCAAAAGTATCAAAAGCTGTTGTACGTGGAACGCATTCTACCCGGTCCATTAGCAATATCGATGAACACACAGATTACATGTGTACTGAACTAGAGACTGGCTACAAGTACAAACGATAGGACTTGTTCATTTAGGATGCTAAGAAACAATTATATGCGAACGTGATATCACACATAATGGCAAAAACTTTGCTGTGATCATGATATAAAATCTTATATTTTAAAAGCACGTTCCTATGATATGACAGTAGCCCATCGCGTAAAACAAATGAACATTTCTATGATAAAATTATATCCAAATCTGGGAGCAATAGATCTCGTTGATTGTTTGGAAGAACAGTTAGGGTCTCAACTTTAAAATATGCTGAATTTGAATATCGGTAAAGTATAACTCAAATCAGCATACACAATTAGCACCATGATCGTGTCTGGCATATTAACATTTACAGGACTAACAGCGTTTGTGTACTTTGTAAAAACACGTCTTCGTCTTTCATCAAAATCGACACAACCTATAGTTCAATTAACAAATTTATTAACAAGCACCCCAGGCAAACTTTTTCTGCGAAAAAAACGCGTTAGAGTGCGTTTAAACTTTCACAGAAACTAACGCGTTTAGCAGGATGTTTTTTGTCACATTCCGGACGTTCAAACGCGTTACTGATCAACGCGTTTCACAGTGTCGATAATCACCGCGTTAGAGCGCGTTATAATTTAACACATTTGAACGCCCTAAATGTGGCAAAAAACATCCTGCTAAACGCGTTAGTTTCCAATGCGTTTAAACGCGCTAAACTTTTAAATTTGAAAAAATTAAAAACTAAATTCAGAATCGAGCTGACTTGAACAGAGAGTCTTTATGCTCTCACACGACCGTCCACAGCTATCTTAATGTCAAGGTTCACAAGTTAAGGAAGAGAGAAACTAAAACAACTTACTCTGCTGTGGCGATAGTTCGAACGTGGGTACCTAGAATTAAGAAGCAAGCATAGAACAGGTTGAGCTAAAG